ACCCTAGACCCATATTTCTTGGGGCTGATAGGTGAACCTTTCTTCGTCTTCATTCTGCCCTAATATCTAAATTGAACTGTGACCAGCTGTATTCTGTTGACTCCCCTATTACCCTTCGTAAATTTCATTCTATTCATCATCATGGGTTACATTTGTCTCTCTTGGCTTTTTGTTCTTCCTAGCTGGCAGCCTATATGCAGAGGCAAATGTTACTTCTTTGCACGATGCCCATCGTCTCCATTATTTTGTCCGTTCTGTCAAACCACATTTGGGTTTCTGGCCATCTTACCATTGTTGTCATGTTTAGGAGATTGCACTCCCTTGCCAATGTATCAGTCACATAGTATGTCTCACTCACAGATATGTGGAAAAATTCTGCCAAAACAGCGCAAGGATTGTCATGTTGCAATGTCAGTTCACCTTATCTTAATGGATTGTCCTGTCTATCAGCAGGCATGCAGAATTCACTTCAGACTTCTGCACCACCCCTACACAAGGAGGTCTGCCAGTGGAAAGTCCCACCTTTGACCAATTCTCTCTAAATTTTTAAAAGAAACTAACTTATTGCACCAAATTTTATTATATTTTAACTTTTGCACTTTTCACTACCCCCACTAACCTTTACCCTTGCACAATCCCCCTCCCTCCCTCCCTAATGTCATCAAATTCCTCTGTTAGTATACCCCTCCTTGCGGTGCTTTATAACCCTTTCGGGTTTAGCACTTATTCTAAAATTGCTATGTTATGTACCATAAATTTATAAACTAACAAAGTTGAGTACTAAGCTAGCCTGCTCACTCTTTCTTTCACAGCTGCCATCTCACCACCCTTCTAGAGCCTACTGAAATAGTGTTTCACATGTCATAGTCATTTTCATTAGACCCGTCTAATCTCACTAATTTTTTGAAAAATTCTATCAAACATATGTACTAAAATTATGTACAACCTGTGTCAAAAAGGAAAAGAACTCGTTCTTTGCACATTAAAACCACATACTATATTCAATCCAAGTACAGCCTCTCCTCACTTAGTGACATACTCATTTACCGACGCCGCAGACTTATGACGGGCTCTCCGACCAGTATTCATACCTAAATAACGTATATTAGAGCTGATTTCCTCTATTCTGTTTATTTCAGTATACTGTACAGTACAATACTGTATAAACATTTCAAAATATACCAGAAATTTCTATAAATGGTGGAAAGACGACATTAAAGCAACATCAGAGATGGTCGACACAAACTCACTACCATTATCGTATGCTCCTCACTTAGTCGTTTGGCGATGTGTCTTTAGGAACGGAACTCCATCGTTAACCCTTGGACTGTCGCGGTCGTATATATACGTCATGGGAGATACCGTGTTTGACGTATCTATATGCATAAATTCTAGCGGCTTCAAATCAAGCGGGAGAGGGCTTGTAGGCCTACACGAGAGAGAATGGGTCTCAGTGGTCGGTGTGCACCCTGTGAAAAAAATCTGGGACTCAGCGGTGCATTGTGGGAACGCCATCTTGGTAGTCCATTTTCACCATGCCTCGCGGTAAGAAGTTCCTCACTCCTCGGCGGATTGGAGGTCTTTTGTTCCCAAGTGATAGCTCAAACAGTGATGATAGTGTCAGTGAAAGTGAATTCCCTGGTTTTGAAGCGGGTGTGACTGAAAAAATTACCCAGGATAACATAATTAGTGACGAAAACCCAGATGACCCACAACCTTCCACCTCTGGTGCTGGGCCGGCTCGTTCATGTTCACCTGTACCAGGATGAAAGAGGAAACTATTTGCCCATGCACAAGACTCAGATGTGAGCAGTGCAAGTGATAGTGATAGTGATTTCAAGGTTATTGAAAGCAGTTCTAGTTGTGACAGTGAGGGTGAATATTCCCCAGTGAAGCGGCAGTATATACGACGTCGCATGCGGTCTGGTAGTGTGCCATATGCTCTTCCAAGAGGAAGGAGTACATCTCAGAGCACATCCGTGGCCCTACACCACGTCCTGATAGTGAAAATGATGATATTGTTACGATGGGTATCAATGATGCAAGTGAGGCAGCAGGCGGTGGTGGTAATAGTGATGGTGGCATGAGTCATGTGACACCAGCAGCAGGCCACGCTACTACCCGCGCTGCTGACTCTGCACAACTACAACCAGCCTCACCCGACCCCACACTCCCACAACCACAACCTGCACAACCACAACCTGCACAACCACAACCTGCACAACCACAACCTGCACAACCACAACCACAACCTGCACAACCACAACCACAACCTGCACAACCACAACCACATTACAATATCCAGAACGCACCAGCTGACCGCATCTGGGATTGGCAGCAAGATGACGAGTTTGTTCCCAATCCCCATGACTTTGATGGAGGACAAATTGGAATACGGCCATCATGTACACTTGGGAACAATCCCACTGAACTGGAATGCTTTCAGTTGTTCTTCGATGAACCCCTGATGGACATTATTGTCAGGGAAAGCAATACATACTATGAGTACACCATGGCAAACACTATTCTGTCACCAAGATCACACCTACACCAGTGGAAGGACACAACTGTGGCAGAGATGTATCTGTTCTTTGCCACAATAATGCTTATGCCACATGTGTATAAGCATAGTGTCAACACATACTGGGCGACAGACCGCTTGATTTCAACCCCTGCTTTCAGTGACATAGATTTGTGTTACTGTTACGTATGCTACACTTTTCAGACAAAACCAGGCCTGACAGAAGTGACAGGTTATATAAGATCAGACGTGTGTTTATGTACCTGAAACAAAAGTGCTGTATGCATTTTTATCCCTTCAGGAAGCTTGTTATTGACAAGTCTTTGATTTTGTTCAAAGGAAGACTCTCATTCAAGCAGTATATACCAAGCAAGAGGAAATGCTTTGGTATAAAGTTATTTGTTCTGTGTGATTGCAAAACTGGTCTGGTTTGGGATATAATTGTGTACACTGGCAATAAAAGAATGGAAGATACCAGAAACTTACTGGGTATCTCTGGTGATGTGGTTAGAACAATGATGGAGCCATATCTTGGTAAGGGGCATATTTTATATACTGACAACTGGTACACAAGCCCTATACTCAGTGATTTCTTGCGAGTGAACATGACAGATGTGTGTGGCACAGTGCGTAGAAATCGTAAACATATGCCTAGGTTCGATGCTGGCAGTCGTAGAGGTGAAGTGCAGGTGTTTGCTGCCAATGACATCATGGCATTTCGGTGGCATGACAAACGTGATGTCACACTGCTGACATCAGTTCACCGACACGAAATGGTAGACACTGGCAAGCAGAATAGAGAGACCAATGAACCCATTGTAAAACCTGCAGCTGTGATGGATTACAACCTCAATATGCGCTTAGTGGACAAATGTGACATGTAGATTGGGTTTGCTGACTGTGTTCGCAAGAGTTATAAGTGGTACATAAAACTGTTTTTCCATCTTCTTGACATTTCCATGCTGAATGCTTATAATATGTATAAGTTGAAGACCAAGAAGAAACCCAAATATGGGTTTGTCAGTCATCAGACAAATAATATTCAAGTACCAAGAAACAACACCTGCAATAGACCAGCGCCCACGAAATTATCAACACATGTCCTCTCGTCTGAGGCCTGGTGATCACTACCCCATACCACTGCCTGCTACTACTGCCAAGAAAAATGCTCAGAAGAGGTGTTTTGTCTGTGGACATACCACAAAACGCCCACAAAAGCGCAGAGACACTCGTTTTATGTGTGAGGAGTGTAAGACACCATTGTGCTTATACCCATGTTTGAAAGAATTCCACAAGCTGCAGCACTTCTAGAAAACTGTCCAGTGATTGTACATATGTATATATATTATAAAACAATCGTAATAAACATTTGTTTACATTGTTTGTTTGTGTAAACAAGTTTTAGCAACATTATAATGATACGAGTGTTTTTGCTATAATTGTGTTACATTCAACGAGTGTATATTTGAACATTGCACAATAATTTGGTCTCACAGGCCACAAAAGTTATGTGAAAAAATAAAATAGTGAAAAAACAAGAAACCATTGAATACAAGTAAATCAAAGTTTACCGGGTGAGCGGCAGTCGCCACTGTTGCCGCTCGCAGATCAATTTCAGCAAACTTCAGGACTCTATATCTCGGTAAGTACTGATGGGAAAAAATTTTTGGGGGGACTAAAACAATCAGAAATATAATCTTAACATTTTCATAAGAAAAAATAATTTTTTTTTTTTTCAAATATTTTGCGACACCAGGAGACACTTCAGGATTGGGCTGTATGTGCAGGCATACCCGCTAATATTCCGCTTTGCTTTAGAGCGCGTTACTAATACGACATTTTTCAGTTAGTATATTAATTTTTGTTATTTTCGGATGTGAAAATATTTTAATGTTAGCAATCCATTACTCTAGTATTTTTTGTTATTTTACTTTTGCAGCTTTTTTGTTTTAGGCCTAGCAGTATTGCACACTTAATAGTGTAAACATGTTTTAGGCTTTTATATGCACTGGCAAGTGAAAAAAGGGCTGTGACTCACTTTAAGGTGATATTTGCTATATGGTGATGGTCTGGAACCTAACCTGTCATATTAGTGAGGTATACCTGTACACAGCATTACACATTACATAATGTAATGGCTGTAATTGCCCAGGCTGTAATTCTAAAACTCTTATACTGTACATGCTGATAATAAATATTGAGGGGGTATTTGTTGCTGATGATACAGAGGCAGTTTTAACATCATGGGTTTTTGAGTATAGTATGTATGTATATATTTAAAGTGAAATTAACTCTTGTTTTAATTTGCAGTTTTCTTACTTGGGTGAATTCTTCTATCACCTATAATTTAAGTATATATTATCCCTAGTTTTTACTTTATGTAGTACAGTAATATTCTTTATCTACTAAGTAGGGTCATCTTATAAAAATGATTAACATCTTTCTCTGACCAGTGTTTATTTTCCCTATGTGCATACAGGAAGCCTGTGGCCAAGCAACATATCAGTGAAGAGAGAATGGCTGCACATCTTAATTCACTCCACCTTTCAGAGAGTTACTACAATCATCGACTGGGTAAAAAAGTAAGTGTTCATTGCCATGTGCATTTTATTTCACATTCAGATTTGTAGATGAATGGTTCGGAGAACCGACATGTTGATAAATTAGACACATGTGCAACTCTTGGGTATCTTTATTGAGGAAACGTTTCGCCACATAGTGGCTTCATCAGTCCATACATAGGAGAAACTTGAAGAACAGGAGGAGAATGAGGTAATCAGTCCCTCAACCTTGAGTCGATGTGTTCAGTCCATCAATCTTGATTGATTGATTGATGGACTGAACACATCGACTCAAGGTTGAGGGACTGATTACCTCATTCTCCTCCTGTTCTTCAAGTTTCTCCTACGTATGGACTGATGAAGCCACTATGTGGCGAAATGTTTCCTCAATAAAGATACCCAAGAGTTGCACATGTGTCTAATTTATCCACATTCAGATTGTTTAATTTGCATGTCTGTCTGTTATACTGTATACTGTATTCTAAAATATTGCTCAAGGTTCTAAACTCAATTATTATTTTTTTATTTTTAAGAGAAAAAGGGGAGGGTAAACTTTTTTTTTTAACATGTTGGCTGTTTCCCACTGAGGCAGGATGACCCAGAAAGAAAGATAACTTATTTATGAATAATATTTCTGAAGGCTGGATTTTCTTTACTGAAGAACACAAGAACTGATCAGTACTGCAGTAAGCACAGCTATGGTAAATTATTATTATAAAAAAGAAGCGCTAAACCACAAGGGTTATTCAGTGCAGCCATGCTAAAGAGGTCCTGCCCACAACTACACATTACACTCGTATATAACTACTTCCAAGTTGAGTTGAACTGTATCCAGTTAAGCCCTACTTAGTGGGTTCTCTAGTGTCTTCTCAGAGCTTTCAGTAGCTGTACCTTCAAATGATGGCTGAGCTGGAGAGAGCTAAGAAGGAAATACAGCTTCAGAGAGAGGAAAACAAGAAGATTCATCCATAGAATAAGAAAGAGGATAGCAATATCAGCCACACTAAATAGAAATTGGTCTGCAAGAAAAGATTGAAGCTGAAAATGGGGTTGAAGAAACACCATTAAGACTGCCAATTCCATTGTTGTAGTTGGGTCATAAAGGACAAAAGTCACTAGTAAAGGTAAGAATGTTCCTGTCTAATGTAACTCTCAGACTGGATTTTAGACAGGGCTTTCTGCAGCAGGGATAGGAGGAGGAGGCTGGTGTGTGTTCTTGGGGCTGGAATGGAGGATTTAGTTAGCAGATTAGGAGTCATCATGATCAGCAATAAGAGCAGTCCTATTATATGCCTCAGTGGCAGGGAAAATGATGTTGGGAAAGGTAAGAGAGAGGATCTGCTTTCCAGGTACAGTAGAGCCACAACTTGACGTTAAAAAGCTCATAAAAACTGTTCTTGAGTGTTTGAAGCTCAGTGTATTTTCCATAGACACCTGTGTTATAATCAGAGATGTGTTCAAAAACTCTAATATCAGTATCTGATTTCATTTTATTGAAATAAAACATGGACACAAAGCTAGTACAGTAAAACCCCCCGTATCCACTGATTCGGTATCCGTGGTTTCTGTTATCCACAGTTTACTGTGGCCCAAAAAGGCTTCTTAACCCATTAACTGTTTCAGGCCCCTTTCTGAAACTGTCATTCTATGTCACTAAATTTTTGAACAAAAAAAAAATTATTTTTCTTATGAAATGATAGAGAATCTTTTCCCGATGGTAATGACACCAAAACTTCGAAATTTGGTCGAAAACTCATGGAATTACGCTCCCGCGAAGTTAGCAGTCTCAGCAACATATGCGTATCGGCGATTTCGCCGACTTTGAGCCCTATTTTCAGCCAGTTCCGTTGTTCCAGTTGACCAAACTCATAGCTATTTCTTTAGAACTCCATTTTATCTATCAGCTGAGTACAAGAAACCTCCCATTTACCAATTTGGACTACCCAATATTGTGGTCAGAAATTGGCAATTTGGCCAATTTCACGCAAACTAAAAATGATGCCAATTTCAAAGTAGGGTCTAGAATAAACAAGGTAGACATTCTTGGCACTAAAATAACATATCCTCTGTTCATTAGTCACATCTCTAGGCCCCTCTTATATTATTATTGCTTTCTATTTTGATTTTTTATTCATACAAAAAAATACAAAATTTACTGTTATGCTGACTACTGCATTATTGTAAAAATGGTATAAATAATATCAGTGCACCAGTGAAAGAATATTAGACTCCCCAGTTGACATGTATTGGATGTGTGGTGTGATTTGTTTACTCCTAAACATTGGTAAAAATCGAACATTTCTGCTACTTTGAGCTCAGTTTCAAGGTCGTTTTCATCGTCAAAGTAATGAAAATCATCTCTATTTCTGTAATATGTTTTCCATTTTATCACCTAAGACCATGAAAACGCAAATACAGTGGACCCCCGATTAACGATATTTTTTCATTCCAGAAGTATGTTCAGGTGCCAGTACTGACCGAATTTGTTCCCATAAGGAATATTGTGAAGTAGATTAGTCCATTTCAGACCCCCAAACATACATGTACAAATGCACTTATATAAATATACTTGCATAATTGGTTTCATTAGGAGGTGATCGTTAAGCGGGGGTCCACTGTACATCGATAAATACTATACGAAAATACACCTCAAAGTCGGCGTTTTAATCCAAAAACACGATCAGAGTTTTTTTTTCTCATTACGTACTGTGTGCTGCAGGATTTTTATGTGGTGCACACTGACCACACTGACCCATTCTCTCACATGTGGGCCTACCAGCTTTCTTCCGCTTGATTTGAAGCCGCTAGAATTATTGAGTATATATACGTCTGAAACACTGGCTCGTAAGACGTATATATACGACCAAAACAGTCAAAGGGTTAATTTTGCATAATAATGGCCCCAAAGTGCAAAAATAGAGAAGCTGACCATTCTTCAAAGCCTAAGAGAAGCTGCGAAGTGCCTCCCATCATTGAAAAAGTGATAATTCTCCACTTATTGTGCATAATTTGTCAAACTTTATAATAGGTATGTATAGGACTTGTATACAGGGTTTGCTACTATCTACTGTTTCGGTATCCACAACAGGTCCTTCAACGTATCCCCCATGGATACGGGGGTCCTACTGTATACCACTATGCCAGAAATCTGCTCATGTGTCACCACCTACCATTTCAGCATTGTTGAACAATTCTTTAGAAACTAAAACTTCCCCATCTTACACAATGTAGCAATGGTTACCCCACTACAAAGGTGGTAACTGAACAGATAACAATTACAGGCTGTTTTCTAGTTTGACATTATCTAAAAATTGCAAAAAAAAATAATACTCGAGTATACTCATTCATAACCTACCGTAATTTATGTAACTCTTGCCAGTTTGGCTTTAGGCCTGGTAAAAGAAGTACAAAAAATATAATAATAAAGATGCTTAACTCATCTATTCATTTCTTGAAAAACAAATATCTAATGGGCTTTATTATTGATATATTATTATTATAATCAAAAAGAAGCGCTAAGCCAATTATTGATATAAAAAAAATTGATACAGTAAACTAACTACAGTGGACCCCCGGTTAACGATATTTTTTCATTCCAGAAGTATGTTCAGGTGCCAGTACTGACCGAATTTGTTCCCATAAGGAATATTGTGAAGTAGATTAGTCCATTTCAGACTCCCAAACATACACGTACAAACGCACTTACATAAATACACTTACATAATTGGTCGCATTGGGAGGTGATCATTAAGTGGGGGTCCACTGTATTGCATACTGATGAAGCCACTTATAGTGAAACATTTTCTTTAATAAATGTACGCGAGTGTCCTATTTTGTAGAATATTACAGAATTTGGAGACCATGTTCTCACATAGTCTTCCCTTAATGTCAGAAACCAGGAAGTGACCATTAACTTTTAAACTGTCCAAATGTAGATCTACGTTCACATGCGTAGCGCTCCGAAAATAGATTTACGTTTTATTTTACATGCTTTCAAATGTGAAAAAAGTAGATCTACTTTTGGAGTGCTGTGCATGTGAACATAGATCTACATTTGGACAGTTTAAGGGTTAATGACACCACCTCATCTACTTGACCTGTCAACATTGGGGTGCCTCAGGGCAACATCCTTGACTCTACTGTTTTTTATTAAACCTCAGTGGCCTTCTTTCGAAAGGCTTCTCAAGACCTTGAACCAGTTTTGTTTGCAGATGATGCAATTTTTGTTCTTGCATTTGGATCTGTTTTTTCTCAACAGCACATAGGCACAGTGGTGCCTATGCTAACCTTCCTATGGTGTAGAAATATACCTAGTTGGATGAATCTTATTGAAGCTAGCTGGCCCAGTGGCTAACGCGACGGTCTGGAGTTTTGAGACTCTCTGACCGCGGGATCAAACCCCACCCATGGTATGGTTTGTTTGCAATTGTGTCATTACAATTTCACGAGTCCTGTTATTGATAAATTCATCAAGAAATCTCTTTGCATGACAATGAACAAATTCACACTCAGTATTTGCCAGACATTCTACATTGTGTTTGGGAGCAAAGGCAAAAATATGCACTTGAACATAAAGGTAAATAATACACACAAGACAAGGAAAAATTCTTATGTACATATAGAAATTAACCGTTTTGCTGTCTGTCACTTAAAACTATGTCATTGAGGCCAGGGTCTCTGATGTAGTTCTGAGTCATGAACTCAGCTCGCTCAGTTAAATTGCGAGTAGTAAATTTTGTCCTAGATGTGAGAGAGTGGGTCTGTGCAATGAGCATGCACCATATAAAAAAAATCCTGCCCCAGGCAGTGCATGATGAGAAAAGTAAAACTACAACCATGTGCATGGTGTAAAATAGAGATTTTGCAGTGTTTTCCTGGATGGTTTTTATGGTTTTTATGTTTTTTTTTTTTTTTTTTTTTTTTTTTTTTTTTTTTTTTTTTTTTTTTTTTTTTGTCTTCAGAAATATTAAATTTTTTTCAGTATTCCAGAGGATGGGTAATGCCCCCTACAATCCCCAAGCTGTTTTATGGTTTTTTTAACAGGTCTGATTGAATTATTGGGATGCTGTGAACCCTGAACAATCTTTCCTGGTTATATTTTATTTTCTGAGAAATTGAATAAATCTTGTATTTTTATATGAACAAGAATTCAGAATGAAAAGCATGTGTAGTATAGGAGAGGCCTGGGGATGTGACTAATGAACAGAGGAAATCTTATTTTAGTGCCAGGAATGTTAAAATGTTTAATGTGAACTTTTTTAAGTTGGTATTTTTTTTAATTCATGTGAAATTGGATGCATTACCAAATTCTGATCATTTATATATATATATATATATTTTTTTTTTTTTTTTTTTTTTTTTTTTAACAAGTCGGCCGTCTTCCACCAAGGCAGGGCGACCCAAAAAGATAGAAAATCCCCAAAAAGAAAATACTTTCATCATTCAACACTTTCACCTCACTCATATATAATCACTGTCTTTGCAGAGGCACCCAGATACAACAGCTTACAAGCATATAGTATATTATTATTATTATTCAGCATGTAGTATATATATAACATATCCCTCCAAACTGCGTGTATCCTAAACCCCTTCTTTAAAGTGCAGGCATTGTACTTCCCATTTCCAGTACTCAAGTCTGGCTATATAAAAATAACGGTTTTCCTGAATCCCTTCACTAAATATTACCCTGCTCACACTCTTAAACCATGATCATCTTATAGGGTAGTTGAAATGGGCAGTTTCTCATACTCAGTGGATAGAATGGTAGGCATACTGGTGAATTAGCTAAGAATTTTGTTGATTGGAAGAAACCTTGCCTAACCTAACCTATCTTGAGACTTTCTTGTGGTGACATGTCTAGAGTATGCCACATTTTTTGCTGGTAGTGTGACATCTAAATTTTAGCTAGAGGCAAACTGAGGGAATGTGCACAAGTAATTACTTCAGAGTATAATTTTGTAAGACTGTGGTTAATTATGTTTACAGAGGGTTGCTTTCCATAAAGTTTTACTGAATCCAGTCATTTATATACTCTCTTTCTTTCAGGGATGTGTTAGCGACATTGACATGATGTTAGATGAAGAAACAGATGAAGGATTGGGAAACAATGGAATTTCACAACCATGGAAGTCTGCTAAAACACCCTCATGTATTGTTATTGCTGATGAAGTCAAACAAATTATACCTGGAGAATCACAGCTTCCAGCATCATTATTAAAAAAATTGTAATGTATTTTTCCCTTGTGAAGAAATTACTAAACAAGATAGAAAAAAAAAGTTTGCATGACTGGAGGCAGTAACGTAGCAAAATAAGTCGGTGCATACAATTAAAAACTTAAAAGTTTAGATAGAAAAATAGTTCATATTTAGTAAAACATCTATTGCTGTAGCGCTTCCTGTAAAGTAAGTCTTGCATCTATGGTAAATATGGTTTATTTATAATACTATAGGAAAAGATGATAATGCAACAATTGCTAATTATTTTACACTGAGCCTCCAAGTTTGCCACCAGTGTCAGGTTCTCCCATTTTTACAATTTGCTAAATGCTGTATATACCACTAAATTCTCTTCATATAATAAATTTTGTTTCAGATTTGAAATAATTTTGTGCTTCAGAGATTATATCTTTTTATTATTCTATTCTTATTGTATTTGACATTCATAACAAAGAACATCAAGAAAGGAAGATAGTTTTGGGCATAGGAAATCCAATGAGTACATTTGAACAAAATCCTGTTGTTGGTTTACAGTTTATGAGTTATGCATTAAGCCAAACTAGTAAATAATGGAAGCTATTTTCCAGAGACTCCTCCAGTATGTGTTTGATAATTGAAGCTCACAAATTACAAAGCTTTCAAATTTTGGATGCTGTATAGCCCTTGTGGCTTAGCGCTTCTTTTTGATTATAATAATAATAATTTCAAATTTTGAGGCTCAATTGTACTCTTAAATCGGCTGACATCTTACAGTAGTGTGTCCATAGGTGTCAACTGAAACTTTCTTAGTATGGGGGTGCATGGGTTTCCAGGATATGACAAGGGTTTCCATGGATAGGAGGAAGAATTGGCAAGTTTTTAGTATGTATTTTTTTTCTTGGCAGGCTCAATCCCACGGAAATGGGGTTACTATTTTTTACCATCCATGTTCCCCATTGGACACCTGTGGCACTCTGGTTTTCCTTTTCTGTGAATAAACCTCAGATATAGTAGACTAATGGGGGGATTGTCCAAATGTCCATTAAATCAGAATGTTAAAAAATAGATAAAGCTCTTAACATACTCCACTATACACTTAAGTTTACAGATATAATAAACAATGAAAATAAATATGTTAAAAGTACAAGTAACCAGTGGAATTTGGCTTCAAAAGTTCATTATATCAAGGGTTTACTGTACTCATTTTTGCTGTAGGAGCTGGACTGTGCACTTGGTAACCTACTTTCATGGTTTAATTTATCATATTTTTTAACGTGTTAGGCAACTCCATTGTTTTTGTACTTCGGGGAGGATGTGAGGGAGGGTGATGGGAAGTGAACAAACTACCCTTTCACATTCACCT